TCGAGTAGAGTCCCCCACCACATGCTACTAACTACTAAACTGCCACTAAAACAAGTATGAACACGAGTGTCTAGTTCATTGTTTACTTAAGTAGGCACATTAGTTGGCGAAACTGTCGAAATGTCGCGCTGGAAAGAAGATACCATATGAAACACTTATTAACATATTGCACTACTAAACTCAATTTTAAAACTGGTCTGAACGATAATCGGTAAGCGGGTACTCGCTACACGACTAAATTACTCGCTACTCGACTAAATTACTAGCCGTGTCTGAACTAGGCTTTATAGCAAATGTTCAAAGCGATTGCCGTCGTTTTCTAGGCACAATCGTATGCGTTGTTCGAAAGAACGCTTCACATTCTACAGCATATTTGGTGTGATGGTTCTGAAGGCAGATTTTATACGGTTTCTCATGTTTTCCCGTGTTGTTGGAGGTATATCATAGATTAGATTTTTAACATACCCCCATAAAAAAAGTCGAGACATGTTAGATCGGGCGATCTTGCTGGCCAATTAATAGGCCCACCTAGTCCAATCCACTTGTTCGGATAAATCACATTTAAGGTGTTTCGAACATCTGCTTGAAAATGAGCCGGCGCACCATCAAGCTGAAACCACATCTCAATTATGTTCAGAGGAACATCTTCGAGCAAATGATTTAATTCATTCAACAGAAATTGTTGAAAGACATGGCTGTTGAAAGAATTTCCCTCAAAAAAGTAGGGAGCTATAACACGGGTGCCTAAAATGCCGCCCCACACGTTAACTGATCATCTGTTTTAGTGGTCTAAATAAATGTGGATTATTATTGCTATAATAGTGAAAATTATGTCTATCCACTAATCCATTGTTATGGAAAGTAGACTCGTCTGTGAATAAAATACAGTCCAGAAAACTCTCATCTTCTCCCACCTGATCTAGAACACGTAGGCAAAATTCAGTCTTTCGCATATTGTCACTTTCATAGAGTTCTTGATGTAATTGGATATGGTAAGGGTGAAATTTGTATCTTTTAATTATTCTTCCTATACTCCGTCGGCTTATGCCAGTTCTCTGATTTATCTTACGCTGGCTTATATACGGATTTTCAATGAGAGAGTCAATGACGGTAAATTCATTTTCGTCATTTCTAGTCTAACAGGTTTTTTATAAACCAAACTACCCTTTCTGCGAAATAGGGTAAGTAGTTTTTCAAGGGAGCGCTTATTAGGAAGATTCCTAGTTGGATATCTTTGAGCATAACTCTTGAGGCTAACAAACAATTTTTCTCACAAAGTCCAATCATTAGTAACATTTTTTTTTGATAAAATTATTAAACTATTAAAAAAAACTATTAACATTATTAAACTATTAATTATTACTTATTAAACTATTTTAAATAAATTAAATTAAACTGCTATAAATTAAAATTAAATTCATAAACTAATGTCGATTTTGAAAACACGCTACTAACTGTGACTAGTAAATTGCCATAGCGACGCAAGCAACCTTTGATGTCTTCTTATTAAAATCTCAGTAAAATCGTATTTTATTCAAAATCTGAACCAGATAGGTACAGGAAACCTTAATAGAGTTTGAAAGAGCATTTAAATTTGCTTTTATTTATTGTAAAAAATACAGGGTGTTGTATTTGAAATACCGAAGTTTTTATGTAAAATATATATTTAAAATAAACCACCAATTTTTGATAGCTCTGTATACATTTAAGATAGCAATTATTTTTTTTTAGTAAGGTTTGTTCATTTGGCTTAAAACTCACAACGATTAATTCTGAACAGCCATATACAAGGGGTTGATAATTTTTTTTATTATAGCTTGCATATTTAAATATCTTTAAATATCTCAAAAAGCAAAGCTTTTAAACATATTTAACCTTTATAATAAATGACTTTTTTTGGGTCCGTGGATCCAAAAATGAAATAAAATACAGGGTGTTCCATAAGAAAAAATATAAATTTGGTATGGATCTTAGTTCTGAAACGCCCCTATATTTCAAAATAATTTTAAATTGTTTAATCAATCAAGGCGAATGAGGTGCGCCACCCTGTATTTATAATTAATTTATTTTTGTTTCCTAAAATATTTCGATTAAAATAACATATACAAAAGTGGGCAACGCTATGCCGGTCAAGCTTAATCGCGACTAAAAGTTTATTTGGTATGAACTGTAAATACCATATACGCGGTATATACCCAAAATGAATTACCCTGTATATTCCCGCTGTAACAAAAAATAGGCTACATTAATATTTACTTCAACTCATTCTAATATATGTCTAAACACAATTATTTAAGAAACACTTTCACATATTATTAGATTAATTAAGCGTAAGCGTTGTAAATCACTCAAGATATTATCTCCGTATCAGTCAGAAATCTGCTTTACGCTTCGGCAAGTATTTTACATTTCCGAAAATTAGTCACCGTTTCTAATGTCAGAAATCCCTCAAAATACCCATATTAAATCCCGTCGAGCAGGAAGAGTTATTGGGTGCCGTCAAACGCTTTTAACCGAAAATATTCACTCCGCTCAAATAAATCACATGAAGATTCCCGTTCTTTTTTTTTTCAAAACGGTTGGCAGTCAGTCGGTTGGTTTTGAATTCCGTTTTGCACGCCTAATTTAATTTCCCTTTGTAATTATTTACGATTTTTCCACCGAAAAACGGGCAAAAGCTGCGGAACGCTTTAAATTGGCGGGCGCGCGTTGTTAGTAACGCAAGCTTAAAATTGAAAAATTTACATGAATGTTTCAGCGTTACATCCATTTAGAGGAGTTAGAAAAATGGTAACATGCCGTATGATCGTAGATTGGTATAATTAAATACATTATGAAAAAGTTATTTCGTTTGTTAAGCACTGAAAGAAAATATAAAATAAATAAGCAATAAAAGTTTACGTATTTTCTTTAATCGCACTGGCTAAACATCCGCTGCGGTGTATACAAAAAATTCATGATATCACCGTCTTGTTGTGTGTTCTATATCTGTAAATGCCGGTGGAAAATTGAATCAATTTTACAATGACGGCGGTATGCTCAACCTGGTAGATTAATGCATGCCGTCTAAAGGCGGCATATAAAATGTAGAATGAGTTGAAGGGGGTTAATCACCGCCATCTTATATAATGTTTAGGAGAGAGCATAATCATCGCGACCTTACAGATCTATTGTGTTCCCCTTTCTTGAGTTATAGCGGGTTATAACTCATCATAAAGTCTCAGGGCTTTGACAAAAACCAATATGTCAGACGGCCCCAGAGAGGCCAGCCCTGCATCTTCGACATCAGCCGTACCAAAGTTTATGGCACCAAGGGTCGTCTCGTCTCGGCGCACTCAGTAATAAGGTATTCTAGTGTTTCCCCATTTTCGCCACCTACTCTGCATTCGCCATTGCTTCTAAGCTTCTATCTATTGAGGTGTTCGTTGAGGGGACAATGTCCTGGTAGATACCCCGTGACAATCCGAAGATTATTCTTACTTAAATCAAATGAAATCTTTGATTATTGTCGGTCGTAAGTTTTGAGTGACTTTTTCGAGTGTCTTATATCGTTGGAGGATTTCCATTCCAGGTTACGGATGGAGTCCTCCAGATTTTTGAGTTCCGCTTTAAGCTGGTTTCCGCTTGGAAATCAGAACAGTTCTGGTCCAGTTAGTGGGAGTGTTCGCCCATTTTCTAGCTAGATCGTTTGCTTTTTTATTGCATTCTATCCCTTGGTGGGCGGGTACCCAGAGTAGGAGGACTATTTTCTTTGCCTAATTTGTTTAGCTTCTCTAGGCATTCTTTGATTAACTTCGAATCGATGGTTACTGAGTTGATCGCTTTTAGTGTTGCTTGACTATAGGATACTTGTACTGCGACCTTGAATATCTATTTCGTAATCCTCCTTTCTTGAGTTATAACTCATCATACATCTTATATCGGGGATCTTCCTGTTGTAGAGGGAACCAAGTATTGTCCATCCTCCTCCGACAACAACTCTTCATCCTCCAAGTAGTATAAACATCCAACTCCAACGAGAGTATACACCTTTCCACGCTTGTGGTTTAGCCCTTCGTACCCTTCATAGTCGAGGAGCTTGTCTTCGGCATAGATACCTTTTGGGTGGAGGCTGAAGGATCTGTTTAAATTTTCTCCATCTCTTTAACTTGGTCTCTCCTTAGACCTGATACCGGCGTTGGCCCGTATCTATAATAGAGAATATCTCTTTCTCTATTGACTCCTTGGTTTTGAGTCAATTCCTAGCATGAGGACCTGACCTTGGCTCTCGTCCCTCGAGTTGATGACTCGCCCACTCGATGTCCTTAGATTAGACTTCTGGCAAAGCTGAAGATACACCGCAAGGGTTAGTTGATCCACTTCTACAGAGCCAACGGCTGAATATTGTATTTTAAAGAACAAATTCCGCGGAAATCTTTGCATTTTCGTTTTTTGACTTGAATTGAGCCATCGTTGATATTTGATAGTTTTAAAAACTGTTAAACATTCCGTTTTAAAATCAAAATATGCAAAGTCATCAGATGGGCATTAAACAAATCAAAATGAAAAAAAAGAAAGATTGAACCCAAAGCAATTTTAAAACACGCTGTGAGCTAGGGTTATACCTATCTAGTCTAGCTTAATATGGGTTAAGAGTTAAGACCTAACTTTAAAATCCACCTACCGCTAAACCGTTATAGTTTTGAATCCCTCCATTCTGACAGACTCGTTTCGAAATGATAACATTTATTTTTGTATTTCGATGAGGTGTTAAAAAAGTTTAGTGTTCATGGCCTGCTTATTTTGCATCTAACATATCAAAAATTTGTATTTTTTTATGCAGTAATGTGTAGTTTTATTTTTACAGCAGTATCTTAGTGCGGAACATACTTAGTTGGTAAAAATAATGTAAACAAAATTTAATAAACTAATGACCGTATTTCTGCTTTTTAAAAAGTGTACTGCCGAACGGCGGTATTCCTTGTTTATTTAGCAAGAACCGCTGTACTTCAAAGATGTACCTCGTTGTTCGGCGGTATTCATCTTAATATTTATTGAAAACCGTCTAAGGGCAGTCTATATTTCGTCAATTTTTTATACCGCCGGCGGTAGTTTAACCAGTTTGTTTATTTAAATGGTCTAAAAAGAAGAAAATTACATTTAACAATTTATATGAGATATAAGCTTGTCGCGAGATTTATCTGTGTAGGTAAACAACAATTCAATATGTAACTTTTTTGAAATTATTTCTAGGTTTATAGCCACTAGGGGGAATAAAATCTACAAAATAAAAAAGCAGATAGGTGATACGTCTATTATATTATTATTATTATTATTATTAAATTCTATTATACGTATAGGACATTTACAAAAAAGATTATTTTTAATTATTATTTTCAACTTTTTAGTTTTCTCTTACTCGGTACATTACCTGATTATTACAAGGTCTTTTTCTGTTCATTTACAACAATATAATTCTATGATGAGTTCTAATTAACGTTTCGATCAAGTGCAAAATAATTTTGCCCAGCGGTCAATCAAATGCGCCCAAACACGGTTTTATTTTGCTCAGTTTAGGAGTTCCTAAATCTTCCGACTTACGCAAGTATATACCAAATTTAAACCCAATCAAACGTCAGGAAGTGGAACCATAGTAGAGTATAATATTATGGAACCACTTTATATGCTACATGGTACCATAATATTGCATTATTACCGATGATATGCCAGTATACCAAATTTGAGCCCAATCGAACATCAGGAAATGCCTCGGGAAATGCTTCTAATTCAGTCTTCAAGATTCTCGGAAGTTAAATAAAAGCTTATAATATATTTAATGACAAAAAATATACAGTACAATATAATACAGTTCAGCGTATTGTTAGTTTTGTTCTCATTACCCCATAAAATATAGGCATATAAAGGTACACAATTAAAAAAATGTCCGTAATCAAAATAATTCCATGATAAATCAACCTGAAATAAACTCACATTTAATTGCGTTAATACACATTCTTTGCTAGTTTTCTATATGGAATTAGTTTTAACTATAATAAATTACCACTACAGCAAAAAATGCTGTAAACATTGCAGACAATTGCGTGGAAAAATGCGTGTCTACCGGTCAATTCATTTTACTGTGTTATAAAAACAAGGTTAATTCTATAAAAAGTGTTAAAGATCTACCGGGATTTTTACAAGGCAAAATACCATTTAAAGGCTTTCCTGCATTGTTACTCGGAATAGTTGTCATTAAAGGTAATTATAAATACTTTCTTTTAATAAGTAACTATTAATTACTAATATAAAAAGTAATACATATTGGGGATTTATAATATTGACGGTTACTGAGTATTGACGTACAATATACAATACAATATATGTACATTTTCAATCTCATAAACTTGAAGAAGCTATTAAATAAAAATAGTTGAAGTTCAGGAAAGGACCGTCATCATAAAAATTGGACAATGTTTCAATATATGCCCTAAGTTATCCCTTAATATTTTACAAATTAACCATAATAAATTAACACATTTTTTTTAACCCCTCGATAGCCGTACCGCTAACGATTTTAGCAACATTAACAGATAATTATAACTTCAGTTTTAATTTCCTTTTAGATGTTTGTAGGTATGACACGAGGAGCAATGAGCAACCTTTCAAAAATAGGGAAAGATCGTCACATTTCAAGAAACATGAAGATCATGTTAGTAAAATCCTTCATATTCTCAATCTTCCTGAACGGGGCGGAATCCTGGATGATGAAAACATTAGACATACGAAAAATATATGCATTTGAATGGCGACATATGTTACGAATATCATGGACAGAGAAACGCACAAATGCATCTTTACTAAACGAGTTGAAGGTCAAAGACAGATTGTCCACAATATGTCGCCCAGACACACAAGACGCGAGGGAGACAACCTAGAAAAATTAATAGTACAGGGAAAGGTAGAAGAAAAACAAGCGAGAGGCAGGTCACCTGTTAGATGGGTAGACCAAGTTAAGAAAATTACAAATACACCACTACAAACTCTACTAACTGAAGCAATGGACCGACAAACTTGGAAAACGAGAGTAAATGTATGTACCTGATTCCATGATGTCACGAGTTCTCAGACATGAGAACACGACTAAGAAGAAGGTATATCAACATTCAAATTCTTAATGCTTTAATCACAGTTTATTCATTACCAACTGCGATCTTCGTTTTTTTTCTGAGAGTTTGTATTTCGCCTGCTGCGCCAATTTTTATAGTCAGGTCTCGATCATTCGAATTAAATTTCATTGGATCTCAGAAAAAACATGTTACATAAAAACATATAAGTGAATATTTCTGTAGATAAACAGATCTGTAGTGGTTTGTTTTTCATGAGCCACCAGAAAATCATTTCAGAAAATGAACAGACTCTATATGTTGCTAATATTGTTAGATTAAATTAGATTCTTTAAGGTGGCTATCGGCCTCAGCCACTGCAAACTTTTCAGATTTGTTGTATTCATCTTCTGATCCTTAGGTTACATTTTCCAGTCCTATCCTTTTAAAAAAGTGTAGCCAACTTAGAAACTAGACAATTCTTCATATAGCTCTATGTCAATACCCTATCATTGCCCTGTAAAAAGAACCGCATATTTGCCAGGCTGTTGCATGGTCATAAAACGTGTTCTTTTGTTTTTTCTTCAGGTTGACAGAACCTGCACATGGCTTCGTCAGTCAATCTCGTTACCTTTAGATGCCTATTCAGCTTACAAAGCCCTGTTAGTAGACCCACTACCACTTTGACTGCCTTTTTGTCTTTGCATATTAGGTCTGCCGTGATTTTTTGGCGAATGTTCTACTAAAAACTTTTTTGCCTGTCTCTGCCCTGATGAATGTCTCCACTATTAAGGAGATTTGTTTACCACCAACCGGTTTTGTGGCCATTCCCGTGACTGTTTTTGCAATGTCGCAGAAGGGTTCTGGGCTTATGAATGACATTGATGGCCTTTCTTTGGTCATTTCATCTGCCGTTACTGTGGTGACCCCCTTGCCCTAGTACCCAGGCTAAACTATCATTCCTACGCCCAGCCAATATATTTAGAGCACCGCTAGTCTAGAACTATTGAGAAAAACCAATATGTAATGGTACTAGCCCAGGAACCCTGGGTGTACCAGGGACAAATTAAAGGGTTGTCTGGAAAAAAATCCAGTGTAATATATGATAACAGGCAGGAATTTCCCCGAGCCTGTATTCTTATAAGAAATAACATTAACTACACATGTGTTTCAGAATTTACAACCCGAGATCTTGTTTCAATCATGGTTCAACTTAATATCGAGGATTGTAGCAAAAATATCGTGATTGCCTCTGCATACTTTCCGGGTGATGGGCAGACACCGCCTCCGGAAGTAGAGGAGCTCGTGCGATTCTGCAGCCAACGGCGACTACCTCTGCTATTGGGATGTGACTCCAATACGCACAATGAGGTATGGGGAAGCACTAATACTAACACTAGAGGTGAGTGGTAGTATAGCTAACGTTTGCGTTAGCTATACTAGTGACAAAAACAAGCTAACCTCCTACTTTATACACACTTTCCAGGTAGCATATCTATTGATACGCAAGTAGCTCCGACCGAACCCCACAATCCTCGCAGGGAAGACTGGGAGACGGCCAAGCTAGTAATAACAGAACAAAAGCTGAAATGGGCTATTGACACCTTTCAGCCTTATAAAACAGCAGGAATAGATGGGATTTTTCCTGCCCTTCTAAAGAAGGGTCAGGAAATAGCTACACTCCATCTATTAAACATTACAAGAAGCAGCTTAGCGATGGGATATATACCAACCATCTGGAGAAGAGCTAAAGTCATCTTCATACCCAAAATAGGCAAAACTGACAGGGCTAACCCCACATCATTTAGGCCTATTAGTCTCACATCGTTCATATTAAAAAGGATGGAGAAAGCAGTGGACAACCATATTAGAGTAAATCATCTACAGGTTAAACCACTGCACGATAGTCAGCATGCATATAGAGCGGGCAGATCCACAGAAACTGCTCTGTACCAGTTAACTGAGCTAATACAGGCAAGCCTGGATAGCAAAGAAACAGCACTTTTCGCCTTCTTGGACATTGCAGGGGCGTTTGACAATATACCTCACAAGGTGGTCAAGCGATCTCTTGAAACAAGAGGGGTGAATAGTACGATAATTCGCTAGTTTTGGGAAATGCTCTCAACACGAAGAGCAGAGGCTGAGATAGGTACCAAAACTGTAGTTGTTAAAACAACGCAAGGAACTCCACAAGGTGGAGTAACATCCCCCCTACTGTGGAGCTTGGTAGTGGATGAACTACTGGAAGAATTAACTCTGGCGGGAATACACTGCATAGGGTACGCAGATGACATAGTCATCATTGCACGGGGGAAACATGAAGGCACCCTGTGTGATATTATCCAAAGAGGATTCCGCATCGCTGAGAGATGGTGCAGGACTGTCGGGCTGAGTATTAACTCAGATAAAACCGCAGTAGTGCCATTCACCAGAAAGCGAAGTTTGAAAAACTTGAAAAGAATCCATCTAGATGGAAAGGAAATACTGCCATCACAGGAAGTGAAATATCTGGGAATAACCCTGGATAGTAAACTTCTCTGGAACAGGCATATTAAGAACATTACCAGCAAAGCCACAAAGGCTCTCATGATATGCAGAAGACTGGCGGGAAATAGGTGGGGCTGCGCCCCTAACATTTTGCGCTGGATGTATACCATGATAGTAAGACCCATGATTACTTATGGAGCAGTTGCTTGGTATACAAAACTAGAGCAACGTACAGCAAGGCAAACCCTGTGCAAAGTACAGAGACTGGCATGTATCTGCATCACAGGTGCCATGAGAACATGTCCAACAGCAGCAATGGAGGTCATTCTAGACCTAACACCACTGCATATTGTCGTCGGTAGTTATGCCAATGCGACAATGATTAGAATGGTCATTGACGGAAACAGTACTGGGAGAATTTTCAGGTCAGGGGCTTGGAACACCCTCAAAAAG